TCCCTACAGCTTCATGAATTTCCCATTTAGCTTTTTTGATTTGGAGAAGAGATGGAACAGGCAATGCAAAAGCATGCAGATGATCAGGATACCTACTGCTTTACAGAACACACAAGAGGCTGATTAAAGATTAGCCTTTTTCTTGCATGGTGGCAGTATTTTGACTCTCCTCCATCCACTTGCAAATTTTCACAAACGCACGTGGAAACTTCTGAGCAAACTACTCCAGATCAACTGAATTTAACAAGGATTCAAGAGTCACACAAAAGGTCAGGCAAACGAACAAAGCAGTTCCAGAAATCCACGCCTCCTCAAAGCATGATAAAAATATCTACAAGGCAATCCTGATTATATTCTCTCTTACCTTTGCTTTCTGAAGGGGTGCCATGCGACAGCACAACACTGCAGAACAGTTTTTGCAAACTTCCATGAACAGTTTTTCATGTTCCCTGAGTGCAAGAGAGAGGCTGGTCCCATCCACAACCAGTCCATGCTGGATAACATGGTCTTCCTTTATTCTATTCAGGGACAAAAATGTTGGCTTTGTATTGGGGTAAAGGAAAAATTTAAATTTTGTTATGAACTATGCAGTTGCCCACACAATAAACAAAGAAGTTAACCTGTTAAACAGACTGCTTCTTCAAGTCTGTTATTATATTAATAAATACATTTCTAGAAAGACAACTTCAGGTGTTTGGCACATACATCAAAGAGATTGTCATAAAATTTGAAAATAAAAGAAAACCACGCTAAGATCATCACTGAGATAATGACATCTCAGGTATTTTACCTCTTGGCTAGCTGCCTCAGTTGCTCCGCGCATGTCCTGTCTGACTTGTGCTGCACGAGCTCAAGGATGTTCATGGTTCTATGAAAATGTCCACATGATAAACTGACACTAACAGCCGTTTCGTGCTTATCTCCAGTGAGTACCCACACTTTGATACCAGCCAACCTGAGTGCTTCTATAGTTTCTTGTACTTTCTCCTGCAGTCTAGAAACAAGAAAAAACTTAAATAACCAATCAAACACTTTACAAAAAAAGAGCTCACTGTAACTCCATGTTATTCCTGTAACCCCACTGTCATGATGATTTAAGACTGCAATTCCAATGTTACATATATTTTCAGAGAATCATAGTCTGACAGATAACATTCTGTTATCAGCAATGAAACGAAGGCCTTGATGAAACAAAAACTGAACTTGAATCCTGCTAAGTGATCAAAAAATTGTAATAAGCATATCTTAATTTAAATTATTGCTGCATTTGAGAAGCTCTAAAGCAGGCCACAACAATTACTATCTACTGCGGTACATGAAAAGCTTTTAAGTGCTCCATGCGTACACTCCAGTGTACAATACACCCTCCGACTTACAGAATACAAGCTACGCAAGCCGAATACTTTGTTAAGTAGCTATGTACAGAAGTTTTCCCACGGAATTAGCCATTACCCTAAATATTTACTGCAACTATTCCATTTCACATACGTTAAATCTCTCCTGATGAAGCACACTGTATGTCATCATTACTAAGCCAAAATCAGTTAGTACAACATGTGTTTTGAATGCTCCTCAAATCCAAAGAGTGGTAAACATACTAAACAAGAATAGCACAGAACTTTTGGTCGTGGTGGGAGTTTTTCATGGCACACGTTGTATTTCAGTTATGAATCCTAAACTCGCTATGCTTTTGAGTGTAATTAGCAGAAACTCCATTGCATACTTGTCTTCTACTCCTGTGGCTCCAAGTAATTCCAGATCCCTTTCTATGAAGTTGAATACATCTGCTAATCTTTCTTCCCGTTGTTGTAAGGCAGTCCTGGCCTCATGAAGGCGTTTGCCAATTTCTTGATACTCCTCAGGCGTGAATCTTCTGTAGGCTACGCACAAAGTTCTTAGTCCTTTCTGTGAGAAAATAGAAGACTACATTCAGAGTCGACAAGATTCTGATCTAACAAGAAGGTGTCACCTGCACTTCAAGTCACAGAATCTGTACTGGAAGAATTTTCTTCCAACCAGCTGGGCAAGCATATACACTTACCAAAGCAAATTCATCCACATGTATCCTTGTTTTGTCTATTTCTCCACTCTTACTACGAGGAAGAATGGAAGATTCTGCTCCCTTTGTGAATAAAAGTTTTTCCCCTAAAAAGTAAAATAGAACAGAAATTAAGAATACATATTATTGTAAGAAGTTCTCAACTGCAGCTTGTGCAACTTCTGATCACTTACCTGAGGGACTCTCTACAATGACACTCATTCGTCTGCGATTTGGATCAAACTCCAAAACATGAAGCAATTTATACCTGTATTTTGTGTTTTATAGAAGAGGGAAGGGGAATAAAACATTTTTAGAAACAAGTTTCCGAAGACAATTACTTATAAATATAGTCTTACCCCACAAAGCTTTCCCCAAAGTGTCATTTTTATATAGAAACTCTAAAAGTAATGCTACCACTGTTGAGCAACAATCACTGTTATCGGTGTTTCTGCAACTGATTGCTTTTCATCACTTTATATACATTTAATTCCATTCTGTAAGAATAAAAGGTTCTTCTACCAATAGGAATAGTTTCCTGAACACTAGCTTTACCCGGAGATTACAATCAGCCCCTACCTATTCCTTTCTCCTTCTATCATTACTTCAAGCATAACTGTGAAAACTACATTTTACTTCTAATACTTGTAAACAACCTACATAATCTAAAAAGAGTGATAACTGGACTATTTTTTGTTATGTCACCACTAGTTTAGAAAATTAATTTTAGACATTTAAGTTTAAAGTACTGCCAACTGACACAGATCAAATGGATAAAAGGTGTTATGACATACCGCAGATATACAGTTATCAATAATATTTCTACTCATTTTGGGAAAGTTTAAAATATGTGATTGGATTATGCATACACGAGACTGATTCTGGGAACTTTTAGAACTGAAAGCACAAACTGTAAGACTTGAATAAGCAATGCAGTTTTCCAACTCTACCACAGTCTCAACCTTTGAGGAACGGGCAAAGATACAAATCCTTATAAAAACCACCTAGACAGAGTAACTCACACAAAATTCTTGCATCCCAGTTTCAATTGGTAAGGAGTAAGATGCAAGCTATCTTGAAGACATCAAGGGAAAAGCATTAGAAAGAGCATGCTGGAGAAAGGCAAGGTTTTCTTATGAACAGAGAAGATTAAGAAGAGAACATTGTATTAATCTTCACTACTGTTCTGTCCTTCAAAAGAAACAAGGAATTAAAATGAATACCTTTCTGGTTTTCCGAGACTTTTTATTTCCATACTGTTCCCACTAGTTCCAGTAAATACTACTCCAACCCTAAAAGGAAAAGAAAATATACATTTAATCATCACTTTAGACATAATGCCTATTGGGGGGGCAGAGGGTGGAGAAAAGAAAAGAAAGACTTTTATACCCCATTACTGCTATTTCCAGAGAAAATTAAGAATGCCCACTTTCTACAGTATTTTAATAGCAACATACTCTGTCCACTATAATTTCTGAAGGATTTCCATAAATATTTTAAGTCATCACTTTATAATATGCCTAGGTTTCTGTGTATTTTATTTTTGTATGTTTTCATAG